ACTTGTGTTTGTTTTTTATTCAATACAGAAGATTGTTTCCAAGGGTACATGTCACTTGTGTTTGTCTTTTATTAAATAGAGAAGATTGTTTCCAAGGATGCATGTCACTTGTGTTTGTCTTTTATTAAATAGAGAAGATTGTTTCCAAGGATGCATGTCACTTGTGTTTGTTTTTTATTAAAAAGAGAAGATTGTTTCCAAGGATGCGTGTTGTAGGGATTATGTGTTAGATCGGTAAATTCTGATCTCTTTGAAAAACGTTATGCAAACTTTATTTAATAAAACAACACCTAAAGTAATGGTATTTATAATGGCATACAGAGTATGGAACTGTTATGAGCTTTTAGTGTATGAAATGGTTGTAAGAGATGAAACAAAGAAACTCGCAAAAACAAATAATAAAACCTGTATTAAAGAAAAAACTAACTAAAAGTTGTTTATGATGGTCTATGAAATGAACCACAGCAAAATTATTAAAAATAAATGTAAAGTAGTAATGAAGACAAACTTAGCTGAATATGCAGAAACATCTGAACGTGTATTCATGAAGTAATAAACATATGGTTTTGGATGAACTGTGTATGCATATTTTAGACTTAAATAAGATGAGGAAGCCCAAAGAAATTGTATTTAGTGTAATGTAATTTTTTGTAGGAAATTAAATGCAGGTTAAGTGTTGTTTGTGTGAAATACCTTGCAAATAAAAAACTAAAGTTCAAATCAAAGCCAGTCGTCACACGGTGACAATGACATTTGGCCATCGTGTACCATACTTGTTGCATTAAGAAGTTTGACTAAGCAAAAACCAGGTAAGGTGATTCGTAATTGGAAAAGCCAATATACAATCCGGAGCATTTGATCGAGAAAAGTTCTGGACAGACAAATACAAGCATATTATTTATATAGATACTGGAATATCTGGAGCTGTTTACTTCGTATATCACCGAAACTTTCTTTGTATTATTGAATCATTAGCATATAACAAATATATAACTTGACCTACGATATCTACTATAACCATGGTTATGTCAAGATATTACGCGCTTGACCTACGATATCCACTCTAACCATGGCGTATTTGATCACAGCTCTTATTAACTTAACCTTCATTCATAGGAGACCAGTATAATTGTAAAAGACAGTAATTTCACTACATCTGTTATATATTGTATGTGTGTGTGTGTGTAACGGTTTCACCAGTAGTGGACATCCTTTACCTCCATGTGGCCCAATAAACATCTTTGGTTATGATGATATAAAATGTAATAGTATTAACACATCTGATGAAGAGACTTCAGGGTAAAGAGCAGTGTATTAGAGGATTATTTGTTGTACAAAACAACTGTACTGTTACATACAAGCTCATGCTTAGAAACAGTAATAATAAAATATTTGAAAATAGAATTTATACATTATTCTACTTCTAACAATCCAAAGTTCACCATGTTTGTACTCATTTCTCTGCTTTTGATTGCAGATTGTACAGAAAGTTTTCATGTTCAGTTTTTAAAGTTTGAAAACATTTGTAAGAGTGTTATTACTATATACGTGTGGAACCTTTTGATGTTCTTACTCCTTGCCATCGATGTATATTTGAAGACTGATTCATCTTTGTAATTCATTTTGTCTGAGTAAAAGTGTAGAAGAATTATACCTGTTTTACATTTTAATAATACACAAACAACCCCTGAATATGCTCATTAATTGTAATATTTATCCTTACCCAATATTAAAATACTGAAAGTAAAATACATAAAAAAACATTTTCACAATCCTGGCTATTCCTCTAAATCAGGGATTTCCAAATTGCAGTCTGCGAGCTCCGTTCGGATGACTGTGGAAGAGTTTGTAGACCCCAGAGTAAACCCGACACTTGAGATTTAACTTTGTACGTAGAAGTATTAAATGTGGAACTCAATCTAACTTATGAGCTAAAATGTATTCATTGCTTGAGAGTTTTGTAAACTAACAACCTGTTTGCTGGTGTCTCTAATAAGGAAGAACAGCACTTGTTCAAACTTTCCTGCAACAAACAAAGCTCGGAGATTAAAAGAAATCCACTATTAGGGTCTTGGATTCAGAGAACCCAGAACTTGGAGACAGAGCAGTTTGTTTTATGATACCATTTGCTACTATATACCTGTGTGAGACAGGAATTTCAACACTTGTGGCCCAACTAGAAAAACAGGCACACCCTGTCATATATAAATTTAGAGGTAAGTCCGTCGTTAATATTAATACTATAGTGATTTTTATATTAAAAGACTTAAAACAATTGACTTCCTAATTTGAGGCTAATTAGCTTATATGTTGATTCATATTCAAATGTCCACATACTAGCTGTGTAAAGAATGTTTAAGTATTCGCTGGAGTTTCTTTTCAAACAGCAATGTAATGAGTAATGTTCAGCAGTTAGAACATTTTTAAACAACCTAAGAGAAAGGATTTGAAACAAAAGTTAGAAAGTGATCAGTTTTATTACTGAAAACATAGATACACATGGTTGACATACGGCGTGAACTGGTGTTTAGCATCATTATATTGATACATTTTTTTTACTCGAGAAACATCCCTTGTGGCTCTCGGCTGCAAGTCGGAAAGCTTATGATACCTGTAGTAGGCAGAACACGAGTAGCCTATTGTCTAGCTTTGTGCTCAAAAATAACCACTTAACAATCTGATCTACTTTAAAGAAAAAATAAACATTTGAATACTTGAACCATACAGAAAACATAATTTAAACTGACCTTTCACACTTAAAATATGTACCCCTAAATAGCTTTGTAAACATTCATGTTGCTAAATATCATTGTGCTTACAAACTACTTTTAAACATTTGCTTTTGTAAGACATAAATGTTAATCTATAAAGTGTATTCAGTTCATGATGTTAGAAAAACACAAATAACCCAAGCAGAAATGTCCACCTTTTGTAAGTCCTTCGGTCATAGGGTGTTGTATTTAAGTATATGCCGAGTTAAAAAGGCACTCTAAGGTTTGATGAATTGTGTTCCAAACAGTTAATAGAAAACATTCCAATTACTGTTAGATTTCAGAGACAAGAAAAACGCCCTGTAGATTATGTATGTCATTAAGTTCATTGTTATTTTGGAACTGGAAAACTCAAAATCTGTACTTGTAGCCTAATATATGTTGATGGTTTTAATGCTTTACAGTGTAAGAAACATTGAACTGAAATATTGTAACCATACCAATAAAAATCAATTTTAAGCCAGCCTTAATTTATGTTTTTCAAAAGGCAACTATTTAATGAAAAGAAATTCTAATCAACCACAGAATAGTCTAGATGCTACAGGAACACGGCCAATATCACAAACACAAATTTATCTAAAATTAATTTATTATAATACATTACCAAATAATAAGTAGCAAACTGTTATATGTAAAAAACACTTTATTTGGAATATAGAAATGAAACACTGTCAAAGTTTAACCAAATAAATTCCAACGTTAGTCCTGAACTTTGTTTTTAATTACAGAAATAAACATTTTACAATATAACGAGCACAGTACTGATAAACATTGTTTTAACCACAACAGCAGAATGATATTTAACTGTTGCTTTATACAAAAGTTGTCACATTCTTCGCTTTAACTCAACATCGCCTGTTACGGTTAACGACTGTCCTGTGTAGGTCCGTTTTATAATCACACTTATAATCCTTATCCATAAATAAATACCTTGAACTTCTTCCAGTCAGATGTAATAATCCAAATATATATTTACATTAAACCCTAAAACTCCAGTTTTATTTCCTGCTGCTTTTTTCCCCTCTCTGACAAGATCACACATTGCTAGATTATCTATATGAAGCAGAGTAGAAAATAGGCCAACAAGCCAGTTCAATAATTGCTAAGTTGGAAAACACAATGGTGTAATGGATAATTATTAATTTTTATTACAAGTTGAAAACATAGTATTTAATTTACTTTCATGTATAACTATTTTCTGGATTGTTAATAATATGACTATTGTAGCACACTGAAAGACAGATCTCACAAGTCAGGACTAGGAAGTTTCACACACTTTAAATTCCAAGATTATCTCGTAAAGAAATACATTTGATGTAACTGGATAAATATATCTTTACAATCTTGGCCCAATACTTATACAAGGAAATTAAAGGTTTGTTGAATAATTATATAAAAATGTCTCTTCACAAGAACTATACTCAAGTATTTGATACAAATTACAATTCGACATTTGTTGATGGATAAATATATCTTTACAATCTTGGCCCAATACTTATACAAGGAAATCATAACAGCAATGAAATTAAAGGTTTGTTGAATAATTATATAAAAATGTCTCTTCACAAGAACTATACTCAAGTATTTGATACGTATTAAATTACAATTCGACATTTGTTGAATGGTAATTTAACGAGTTGGTTGGAAACAAGTTTAAATATCTGATTAGCATTTATTATATGGTTTCCAAAATAAAAACTTTAATAATTATTCACTGGTGGGATCTGACACATCAAAGTTTGTATAAAAACCAATAATATGTAAATACTAATTTGTTCCATTTAAACATTGAAAAATATTAGGTCCCAATCCATTATTATAACAACTTAAAGCTGACAAACAAACGGTCCACAACAACATTATCTGTCTGCAGTTTACAAGACTAGTATTAAATTACTAAAAAAACAATCTTTTTAACACACAACCACTTTCTTTACAAGCAACAAGTTTTACTTGATTTGATTTAGTACGTTTTCAAGATGTTTGGCTTTGAATCATCTTTAGTGGGCAATGTGACCTGCCATCCTAAGGTTAGTCGATCAAAGCCACAGGTAAAGAGATCACAACGTGATTGAGTGTGTTCATCTGCCCAAGCCACGGAGCACACCATTCTTCTATGTCCCTAAAAGAGAGAACATTTATTGAAATACAAACTGCATCAGATGGTAATAGATTTAAAATTAATTATACTCATTACCAGGTTGATTTTTGTTCTAAGAAGGTAAGCAAGTTATTACCCGACTTATACCAAATTCTGATACTAGCATGTCAGTTAAGTATATTGAAAAATTTTTATTAAATTATAACAAATCTATTTGACTAGTTTTTACAAAGTTTCAGTTGCTTTATCTAAATGACAGGAAGAGTTGGATATTTCAGGAAAGTGTAGGGATGACTTGTACAGTGAACCCCAAAACATGGCTCTCTAGTGAGAGTTTATCTTTACGACTTGATGAAGGAACTAGTATATTCTAAACTTCACTACCTTTAGACGAGGACTAAGTTACATCACTATGGGTTTTGAATGTGTACAGTAATGTAACTTATTGTATAACACCGTACTTCAGATATATATAACTACTGCCTGTTGTATGAAATAAAGTCCACTCTATACATGTGGTTTGAATGAAACACCTAGCTTACCTAGAACGTTTATTTTGAAAATATAACCTTCAATGTAAACTTCACACGTATATTTTAAGTGTTCATTAAAGGATACTGCTACGTAGAGGATGTTTCACTGCAACACCTTCAATTGTACATGTTTCACTGCAACACCTACAATTGTACATGTTTCACTGCAACACCTACAATTGTACATGTTTCATTTCTAAACAAAACTCTGTCTTCATACTTGTTTAAAAACACATCATGGTTGTTGATGCTATTTTCCAGAAGTAGTAACCTGTTAATTATCAAATATCATTTGCTGCGAATACCACGTTACTGACAGAGGAGACTAGTTACGCACGAAGACTGGAAGAAACACGTATCCCTAATACAACTGGTTACTTTAAGCAGCACTATGACATTTGGGCCAATGGCACGTATCTTAATGGGCCGATTTGAAATCTCACTTGTATTAACTATTGCAATAAATATGCCCTTGCTCGGACAGACGAGGTGAGAACAGGAAGTGATAGGGTTGTTTTCTGGCCAATGTCCTTACATCTAATAACCCTAAACCCCAATGCAATTCCTCCATGGACTTAAACAAAACCTAAAATGATCCAAGGCCTTAAAAAAAGGGGGTGTGTGTGTGGAATCTCATTTAAAAAAGGGGGTGTGTGGAATCTCATGCCAGCCTAAATTTGTAATCTTTGATGAGCAGTTTTTTAAATACTCAAATTATAACTTAGGTATGAAATATTTCAACATTACCAGTCTGTTTCCTCGAGGAAGGCGAGCTATGCGAACTCCTGTCACATCATACAAACGGACATTTCTGTTGTCGTGAGGAATAGCAATAACATGTTGACTCGATACCGCAAGTCTGAAAAGGGATAAAAAGACTTGTACAATAATATATTACATTTTTATATTAAATAATCTGTTTTCTTGAGGAATACATATCCTTTTGAAGACTGAAATTAACAATTTTGGAAAGTTTGAAAAGGGAACTCCTCCAAAAGTGGTTCAAACTGGAGGTAAAGTACTTCTCGAGTCAACAGTAAAACAACAACAGTATATTAAGTAAACAAGTATTAATACACTAATATATTCACTGTACAGATTACCTGTTAACTGGAGAGTCTAGTCTTATAGTTGTTAAAGGTGAGCGCATATTCTTTAAATCCCAAACCTTCACGGTCCTGTCGTCACTACCAGACACTACTTTATCACCACTTGTAAAAGTAGCGCTAGTTACCGACCTATTGATGAAGAAGTTTCCAAACAACCTGAGTATCTCAAAAACTAGCAACTTACAACATTTTCAAGTACTAAACAAACAGAAGCTCTAGAGAAATATGGAGAATTACATCAATATGTTTATTAAACTTTTCTTGTTTCTTTATTTGTTGTTCACTTGGATTTTAGTTTTTTCATATTAAGTTTAAAAGCAGTATAACTATTAACATTTATATTTTAATGGGAAAATACTTTTTATCTCTACTTCAAGTAACACTGAACATTTCTTTTGAAAAAAATGTATCGTTACCAGGTCACCAACCTGCCTAATATTAAGTACATAAAAGGAACTTAATACTTCACATAGTTCAATTTTCCAGAGCCTGAGAACATTAAGACTATGCACTGACTATTTCCACTCCCTCAGTATATTATTCTAGCTTACAACCAAATTTCTTGTTTTATTTTTTCAAACTAGACCAATAGACTAAACAAAAAAGACCAATTTTATTGTTTTATAAAATATTACGTTCTCTTTGTTTAATTCTCATAGTGCTAAATATATATTATATTTACTCAACATTGTTGCTTTACGACTTCTTCACAAGTACTCTATAAAAATAAGCTACAGTCTACACTGTATCCTAATATTCTTAAAATACTTCAAGGTGCTCACAAGTGAGACTGAAGTAGGATGTTGTCGTGTCAGTAGAATTAAATAATAGATATTTAACACTAAGGTTTAAAACTAGTTATCTTTACGATAAACTTGATTATATATATTATCCTCTATTTATTTGGAGTCAAAGTTGTTGGACAAGAACTTCTGTAATAGGGTGGATTTTTGTATATAAAACATAGTATGACCTTTTTAGAAAGTTTATTAAGCTTGCTTTCTTTGGCAAGTCCCATCAACAGAGTAAGCAGCCGTCGGTCTGTATGACTTACTCTGTGTGTCCCTGAAACACACTCACTGAATGGATGGCTTCTCTGAAGTCCCATAGTCGGAATGTCGTATCTTTTGATGATGTTACCAGAAGTTTCTGAGTTTAAGTTTAATAACTACTGTCATGTAGGTCATGATCAAGATCTGACAAACATCAGTGCTCACCAATACCAGATTATAAGAAAAGTTTTGTTATCTTCTGAAAGTTGTTTTTAACATGTTAATTAGTTTATGGGATTTCATGGGCAGTCTAAAGTCTTGATACAACTATATTTGAATATGAAGTTAGCACTTTTCCTACTAAGTCATTTAGAGATAGAATTATTACACATAAAAAAAAACTTTACGAACTCTTATCCATCTACAGTTTTTAAATAAGGAACTGATTAAAACGTTACCAGCCAACTGGTTCACTAGGTCTCCAGTCTGCGCATCAAACACATTAGCAGTTCTATCCCAGGAAGCAGTAATAACGTGATCACCGCCAGCCAGCCAATCCGCAGCAATAACGGCTCCTGTGTGGCCATGCAATTCAACAAGAGCTGTTTTAATAACAGTGGAATTCCCTGGAACATCGGCATCTACAGAATCAAACACAAGTTTCATTAGCTCCATCACAGATACAACAAGAAATACCTACATTATTCAAACCAATAGCTCAAACAAGAAGCTTTCAAATAAAAACATCCAAAGTCATATAAGAACATTTCAGTTACGGAAGAGAAATTGATTGTGTTTTAATTACTGTGAAACTTTCATTATAGTCTTAGCAACTAATTTTAAATATTCTATCTTCTAAAAAAATCACAATCTGAACTACAACACATTTATAACATGAGGTTATCTAAACGTTATTTTTCATTTACAGTTTTTAAAAAGTACCAACAGTAATTGCTATGTAGAGAAAGTATTTCTTCTCGCATAGTTATAGCACTGCCCACCAGACGTGGAATATTCATAGTCGAATACTTTGATTAGGAAAATTAAAGTATTCGTTGAATGATTTAGTGAATACTTAATATTGTAAGTGTGTATGTCAACTTTTGTATTCATCAAATTTATAGACTGTCATTATTACATCTGTTAAATCAGATCAATATTCTTCAACTACATTAAACATTATTGTATTACATGGTTATTAATCCACTTGAGAGAATTAGAGATGGTATTAAACTGCCTTCAGTGATACATGAACACTTCCTACTGATAGATCTGGTCACATCAAGGAAAAGTGTAAATATTGTGATCAC